CCAAATCTCTCCCCCAGACCCCCAAGCCCACCGCCCTCGCCCCCAGTCCCACTTACCCCACTCGGGGGTCCCTGCTGGGCTCAATTCTCGGGGTCTCCGGGGACCCCGGGGTGACGGCTGCAGCCCCAGCTCGGGGGTCCCGGGGGTCCCGGGGGTCCGGGCACGACGTGGCTCAGGGGTCCCGGGGGTCCCGGGGGTCGCGGGGGTCCGGGCACGGCCCAGCTCGGGGGTCCCGGGGGTCCCGGGGGTCCTGGCTCCCCCTTGCTCGGGGGTCCAGGACCAATTGAGCTCCAGGGATTTGGGGGTCCGGGCTCGCCCCTGCTCGGGGGTCCCGGGAATTTTGGGGGTCCCGGGGGTCCGGGCTCCACTCGGGTCTGGGGATCCGGGGGTCCTGGGGGTCCCGGGGGTCCCGGGGGATCCAGGGGGTCGGGCTCGGCTCGGCTCAGGGGTCCTGGGGGTCCCGGGGGTCCGGGCTCCGCTGGGATGTGGAGACCCGGGGGTCCGGGCTTGGTTTGGCTCAGGGGTCCCGGGGGTCCAAGCACGCCCCATTTCGGGGGTCCCGGGTGAGCTGAGCTCCGGAGAGCCCAGAGCCCGCTCCCACCGGCGCGGGGAGAGGCGCAGGAGGCCCGGGGAGGGCGGGGGGCTTCGGGGGGTCTCGGGGGGCGTCAGCTCCCGGCCCAACCCCAGCGACGCCAGCAAAGCCGAGCCTTTGAGCAGCGCCCGCCGCAGCAGCCGGGGGGTCCCTCCCCGAGACCCCCGACCCTCTTCAGCCTCSGGGGGTCCGGCCTCGCCTGCGGGAATAACGGGGGTCAGTGTCGGGGGGGGGGAAAGGTGATGGGACCCCCCCCCAAAAGACCCCCAGACCCACCATTTGGGGAGGGGTCTCCGGGGCTGAGCTCGTCCGTGTCCAGGTACCAGGTGGTCTCGTCCGGCCGCAGCCGCCGCCTTTTTGGGGAGGGGGACATTGGAATATTTAGGGGGGTCCTGGTGTGAGGGGAGGGGGGGTTGGGACCCCCCCCTGAACGCCCCCAGACCCACAAAAAAGGGGGTGGGACGCACCTTCCATTGGGGGCGCTGCCCCGACCCCCCCGACCCCGCGGTGGCTCCTCCTCCTCCTCGGGCTCCACTGGGGACACAGAGAGAGATGTCACCGCGGTGACGTCATCACCGGCAGGTGTGATGTCACCCCGGTGACGTCACCGCCACACCCCCACCCTATGAATGACGTCACTCACGCTGGATGGCGCGAAGGCGGGGGAAGGGCGGGGACTCCCCCGGCCCATCCTGGGGGTCGTGGCTGCGGGGGTCGCCCCCGGGAGAGGCCTGGACGGTCAGGCGGTGTTTGAAATCTGGGGAGGGGGATGGGAGATGGGGGGAATGGGGAGGGGTCAGCAGAGACCCCCAAAATTACCCTGAAATCCCCTCAGCCCCAATGAGCACCCAGAGACTTTCCACTCCCCCCCAAATCCCCAATCCCTCAAAATTCCCGGACCCCCAAAGCCC